GCTTTTTGATTTAATCAGGAAGTACTGAATTCCAGTTCACGTTACGGCCATTCGGTTCCTGGCGATCGTAAAACAAAACTCGCTCACACATTGGTTTCCTTACTCCGAAGATATTCAGGATAGTGTCCTCGTCTCTTTTAAAGGTGTATATAAGTCGTGCCCGAAACAACGCCGCGATTGCATGGGAAATAATCAACTCTGAAGAGTTGTTTTTATAATCTTTCTTCGAAGAACGCGAGGCAATGAACCTCAATCGAAAGAGAGAGATCGAAGTCTGCTCTAAGTCTTCGAAAATTTTATGCATTAATAAAAAGTTCAAGAAATTCCATTCATAAAATAATCGAAATTTTCAATTATCTGATTTTACATTAAATTTCGATTCAAACTGACCGTTAAATAAAATTAATTTTTAATTTATCATGAAAATTTAAAAAAAATCTGCGTTTCATGTTAAATGAGAATTTATTTTTCAATGAATTTTTTAAAATGATTTTTCATATGCGTGAATGAAAATGAAAATGAACATCAAATACAATTGAATTTCCATTAGATTGGAAATTCCGGGAAATTATTTCTTGAACCTTTAACTTTTTCACGATTTTTCTATGCTATGAACATTTATATGAAAATTGAGAATTACCCAGAAAATTCAAGTAATTAACTGATTCATCAATGATTCATCAATTTTACATTGTCATTTTTACAAATTTCAAGTTCCTAAAATTGAAAGCTCAAATATAATTTCTTGTCAGCGGACGCAATAAATGGACGTTCTTCCAATAGTTGTCACAGAATTTTAATTATTGAACTCATTATCAATAACAATGGCCTAATTCCTTTAAACCATTTGAATTACTGAAATTGAGTCCATAATTACTCGACCATTCCAATCCATAACAGATAATTAAGCAATGGCATTTATCGTATCGTAATCGGCGGTCATAAGGTTTATGAGAGAAAAATCGAATGCTCAAGTGTAGAAACGAGTGATTTAAATGCAACCTGGAGCGTTAAAACAATTTATCCGGGCGGCTGACCTGTCGCGTCTCGAATCACTTGGCTCATTCAATTCACTCTTCCCTTCGATCTTTGCCGACTTTACCTCGTTCTCCTAATGCGTTAACGACCGTGGCCTAGAGCATTCCCATCCGCTAAAAGCTGACAGGGTAAATGACGACAGCGATGTCTCAAACGAGAGTTATAGTTAAACATCCACGAGATGAACGATGGAAAAAGACAGCGGGTAAGTATCAAAGAGAGTCGCACGATTACTAGCTTAAGGTAGCCAACCCGGTAAGAGAGCCACGGCCTCGTAAAATTATCCGTAATAAAATTTTGATTTACACTCTGTGTTCCGGGAAACCCTGAACACCTCCTTTACTTTCTTCAACATCGGTCAGAACACAGCCCATGACGCGCTCCACTGACCTTTACGCTCGTAATTATTGTTTTCACTCGAAAATTTGCGAGCCACCGATGCAAGTTGTATTTTGTCGTTTTGAAGAATTTATATCTCTTCGGAAACGCTCATTATTTTTTGGCTATAATCTCTGGCTGCAAGTATTTTTTATCTATTTCTATAGAATTTTTGTGCGATTCTCCGAGTGGAAATTCCGATCAGGTTCAGAGCAGGATTTGATCGGGTCAGCTTTCATGATAGATCAGGATCAGGATCTGATATGATAACTGTATCAAATCCTGATCAGTCGGTAACGGTGTTTTTAATCAAGACTTGATATATGCTAATGTATATATTAAAGAGGCAAGGGGAGACCATCGAGTCAAACAAATTCAAATACTTTCTCCAGGTCGAGTCTTGCACCGATCAGGCTTCTTCTACGGAACTCCTTGTTGGCATCAAACAAGAACTTATTTATGGCATGAGTTGTGGAATGATTGTGCTTGAACCCCAATTGGTTGATGGGGATGATTTCCTCTTGCCTGCAGTGCTGTATAATGGTGTTGATGATTGACTCATAGACGTTACTGATGTTGGGCGTCATGCTCATTGGTCTGTAACCGGATGGTTAGTTTTCAGATTTATCTTTTTTAATAAATTGGTATAATCTGCGATTGTTTCTACAGTTCGGGGAAGAATCTCAGGTTGTAATCAAACAGCACTCTCTCAGGCAGGAATTTCGGTATAATCATCGGGATTTTATTGCTTCCACAAGAGGTCTTGCTTGGCATGTTCTTGTTCAAATTACTGGTCATCGAGGGTGTCTCCATAGCTGGGCTTGATGGACGTGTTATGGGGCGAGAAAAAGGTCATAACGGTTGTTATTATCCTTGTAATTTTCAAATTTCTGTTTGAAGTCGTTAATCTTATCATCAACAATTTCTCTGAGCCTGATTCCTATGTTCAAATACCTAAGCGAATTAATGGGCTCGTAGGAGACACCCAAAACGTTTAATTTTAATGCTGGTTTTGAGAAAACGAATTTATCATTTTCTTTGGGAGTTTCATTGTGATCGAGGGAACTGGCCCACACAACGAGATATGACTGTTACCTGAAATTCTGTAAAAAAAATATTCCAAAGATATTTCCTAAAAGTATGATGTGCTTTCATCTGATTATTACCACTTGCAAGAAAAATTATCTGACCAATGATGCAAAATAAAATCTTAACAATTGGTAAAATAAATTTAGCTCTGATGGTTCCAAAAAATACTAGCTTCTTCTATTTTGATGAATCCTTGAACAATGACGATCAGCATCTGTCACATTCCGGACACCGGCGCACCAAATCTTATCATCATTCGATGTATCAAAAAAAGTTGAGAAATTAGTGGGCAATACATCTATAAAATTATTCCATTTCCTACATTCATTATTCTCTATTCAAATATTTATGTAAATGACGCAAAATCGATAGTCAATGGGATTCATATATTCTCAAGAGAATCCGGTCACCGTACAGGCGAGCTCGATCACGTTCTCCTCGTCAACAATTTTTTGTATGAATTGAATAAATTGAGGATAGTGGACTCTCGAGAAATACAGCGACGTCGATGTTCTAACAATGTCACGGATGAAATGAGAAATGGACATTCTTAAACACAATAGAAAAATGAAGATCGCTGGATTCACAAATGTATCAAATCATTTGAATACCCAATTTTAAAAAAACGTCGAAATTTTAGGCGACGAAGTAGAATACTATACATCTTCGTGTTCTCCGCACGTCGAGATTTTGAATTGAAGGGGAAAGTTTCCACCAATTTTCACGCTTTCTCCACCTTTCCTCCACATTTATTCGCCCTCTTCAGGTTACTAAACAGCAGAGCGATTTTCCATTGCTTTTCAACTCAACTTTATTTTTTTCTTCCTCAGAATTTCAGTTGAATCCAAACTGTTTCGATTCACGGTCGAAAAGTTGACTTTTCTTTATCCGCAATTCTTCAGAAACAAAGACCCCTTCCCTTTGCTCTTCTCTATCTCGACTATGAGTACTTGAGTCTCGATGTAAATTGAGTTTAATTAATTCCAAAGTTTTACGACTGAAATAGTAAGACTCACAGAAGGTATATATGAAAAGGAAGAATAAGCGGGGGAAGTTGGAAAATTTTGAATTATATATTCTATGAGATTTTACCAGTCGGAGTTGATAAAATGAAGATGTAAAGGAAAGTGTTTCTATGGTGAAGTGGAGGGTGAAAAAAATTAGAAAAGAAATGGAAAAATGTTTTTCTCCTTTTTTCAGTCCTTCTGCTGCATGCGAAGTGTGTAACTTGCAAAAGTCATGATGGAGAAAAGCTGTACGACATTTTCAGAGAGGTCGTATTCGTGAGGGAAATTTAAACCTTTTGCACCACCACACGACTACTGCGTGCTAGAAAATTCAATTTACAGAAGTTTTATGCGACCAGTTTCACCCCCTGTCATACTAGAGATGAATATTAGAAATGAACGCATTTTATTAAATCATTCTATGATTTGTGCATTTTTTATGTACCATGTATTGTGTCCAGGGTTTTTTAAACCTCTAAGGGTGTAACATTTTTGATTATTTATTATGGCAGACTTGTTATGATTTGCAGTAATTGACATAAAAAATCATTTTAATCTTGATATCAGCGTTGAAGTAACAATCAAAGATAATTTTATAATCATTTCCAATAAATTGCGGATACATTTTCCTTTTGGATATTTAAACCTAAGGTATGAACTTTTTAAAGGATAGAACGCCACAAGCGACGAACTGTCAAAGTTTGTAGTCTCGTAGCGAAGTTGAATGAATAAGTTATCAACGGAGTAGAAAATTGCAACGAAATTTGCCCACGTTTTTGGTTTATCGTCAAAGTGATTTCACACAGGCGTAGCTTATCCACTGAACCCCTCGATTTCTTGGGACAAAATTGATTCAATTTATATTTTCAATTATCTCTGTCGGTTAGGGAAATTTCTAGGTAGCATCGCCATTACTTCAAGGTTTTATTGCCGTTTATCAGAAAAATATATGTGAAATCAATCATTGGATCATGAAAAAATTTAGTTTTTGCAAAAACACCCTTCAAGCTATACCCTGGAGCATTGGCGAAAAAAATATTATATTAAAAGTATTACTCTATTATAATGTTTTCCGCGTTTGATGACCTCATTATTATCTAGGCAGAAAATATATGTATAATCAACCGTTACTTGATGCGAATAATCAAAATTTCGAATTTTCAAATTTCAGTGAATGCCTCCTCGATTGTCATGATCTCCCGATAATTTTTCAAAAATTTCGAATTTTCCAAATTTCAGTGAATACCTCCTCGATTTTCATGCTCTCCTGATACTTTTTCAAAAATTTTGAATTTTCAAATTTCAGTGAATACCTCCTCCATTTTTCGGCAGTTACCGAATCGGCTGACGGGACGACACCCCCATTGCGTATGGCGCCCTCCCTCTCTTGGGGTGCAGTACTACGAAGCCGTTGGGGTCACTCAAACCCCCAGAACTGAGCCTCTACTTCAGTCAATCCTCTTTGGGGCAATGTTTTTCGCGCCATTGTAGTTTCTTCCATAACCTGTCATAAATAACCGTTGGGCACCGAACATTCCTGGAGGTTCTCCTTTGTACTGCTGCTTGTGATGAATAGTAGGACTTGAATATAACTGTTGACAATAAACTCAGACTGCAATCAGAATAAGGTAGATTCCGTACAACATTTTGAAGTAATAATATTAACAATTTCGGTTAATATAACTTGGCAGGACATTACAATGGGAAGACGTCGAGTATGTGGTGCTAAGTTGGGAAAGGAAATTGGTAACCGAGTCACCCTTTTTGGACTGATCAAGGGGGTAATTATTTCTAATTACTCAATTAACAAAATCATTTTCTCTCAAGCTCAATCACCAATAGATTTTTCTTCCGCCTCTAGGTGAGTTCAAACCAGATGAACGTTGAATTATCAACTCCAGATAATATTAAAGTCAACGTATCTCTCCCTGAGCCGTACTTCGGGCTTGCTGACGGTATAATGGAGGTCTTTGGAACCGTCAAATCCAAATCCACAATCAGTGCAGATAGTTATCTGTACTTCACGTCAAAGGACCTCGAAACATTCAGTAAGAGAGTCTATGTTATTCCAGTCTCACTTCGCTCTGTATACTCGCGGATTAACAGCCCAATAACATAAAATAGTGTACGAAACACGTGTGTTATGGATTCGTTGCCTCGTGGGATTGTACAGCTCGCCTTCGAGTCGCATTACAACCCTCCCACAAGCAAAAAAATAAATTACAAACGTGTTACGTAAAACTTTTGAATTTTTTCGCGAAAAAAAAATTAAATTTTTGAAAATCTGAATGGGTCGGAGTAATAGTAATTATTTTATTAAATTTTCGATTATTAACATGGACTCTTATGGCAATTCACATTTTTCATAAGGTTCTCTTTGAGTTTTACAATTCCTAACGATGAGTGTTTCATGAAACTTTTTGTGGTATATGTACTGGTGTTAAAGAGCATTAATAAATTTCGATTTCCTGCACTACTCCAGAGACTCAGGACTACCAGGACTTTGCGGTACTGCTGGGATACCTGATGGGACAGGACCCGGAGGTTCAGGCTTTCTTCCATACACCTTAATTCCATATGAAAATAATTAACTATAAGACTCTATTAAAAATATTTTTTTATCAAGTACTACTACATAAATTGAAAGAAAATGGTTGTCTATAAATATTGGATGAGACAGGATCATTGAATAAATACAATGGGACAGTTGAAATATACCAAAAATTTATTTACATAAAAACATGAATATAATACCTATTTCAATTGCTGCGCATTTTATCATCAGATGTACCCGAACAACGTTGGCCCAGAAAAATTAACAGAACCAATAAGAAGTTGAGAAATCATAAGAAGTATTGTCACGATTATAAATTCGAATAGCAATTGATTAACCTGGATAATAAACTCTCACGAATCTACTAAAAATCTACCAAAGTAATCGGATGAAAATTGATGATAGATTGAAATCGCAGAGTCAGCGCGGGAATTAAAATGAAAGCAAAAGGAATATATCAAGTTTTACACTCGAGAAGTCCATTCAATTCACGGTTGGCATTTCCACTCTTCAACTGCTGACGGATCATATATTTCCTTCCGAAATAAATTCATCGCTTCTTGTGTTTTTCCTTTTTTTTAATATCCATAAATAATGTTTATATTAATCGCTCGAATATCTTCATATTAATTTTCTTTGTAGTACCATTCGTTACAATATTTACATAAACATACATACAACTTAAAAGATTATTGCTTTAGAGATAGAATATAATTAATAAAAATATGTTTTTTTACTATTCAGTTACAATCAGATTAAAACCGCGACTGCCAATTGCACTAATTTTGTTTCGTTCCGCCTGATGGAAATGAAATTTGCAGTTAAATTTTTACTAAAATTCCATTAGTATCGATTCGAATTTTATTCCAATCATTTTCATCGAGAATTTTACTACAACTCGCAGTTCAATTGAAAATCACGAATACATATTTCCAGTAATTTGTTTGATAATTTCATAATCAGCATGTATACTTAATTATCGTAATCATTACCGATTGTACTAAAGAGTGACAATTAAATATTAAGTCCAACCGTGGCTTTCTGATTACTCTCAGGAATTAATGACGAGAGTTACCTAATTGAAAAGCTATCTACTCCATTGAAAAACCTCGTTCGATAGGCGCAATGTTTACAAATAAAAGTGAGCTCAATATATTTCTGTTATGTTTGAGTACATCATTAAATGCAAGTTGTCATTCTCAATTTTTGCAGGATAATAAAAATCCCATTGTTCTGCAAATGCGTATTAATACTTGACAATAAGGCTCAAAAATTCATTGGTTCTTTGATTATCGTACGTTAATTTATTTTCCAATATCTTTACCTTTCTTCCTGTTCTGAGATATGATTTCATATGCAAGATTTGACTTGTAGCTCGTTTTATTTGTGGAGATGTTTTTTGTTCATTACCGAAATACATCATCTAAAAACCTAACCTTTTTCGAAAGTTTGTTATTCGTTTAAAAAAAAAGCACCTACGAGTATTTTCGGAAAACTCCAAGGTATACTTTTTGGCCAAAAATATATTCAGGTATGTTCTTCAATTTTAAAAGTTTGAAAATTAAAAAATTAAATTCATTCGGCCATTTTACACTCGTAGCTTAACAGCAATAATGTCGTGTATATGATGTATATCTAAAAAATTCCCTAAGTACCTATAGGGATTCCCAATGAAACAGTTTTTCTTATTGGCTTTACGCACTTACAATTCACACTGTATTAGTGTATATGATTATCAAAAAATGGCATTAACGAGATCTCAGTTATGAAAAAATGTGTCCAAAATTCGAAGTACAAAGAAAATGAAATAAGACATGAAATTAAAAAAAAATCTATTAGATCACACATTGAGGTTCCACCTATTACGTATAATAATCGCATTTATGACGAGCCATGGGTTACTCGATTTCATTGATATACCTATACATGTACTATTATTCATATGAATAAATGTTCAACATATATATGTATATATTCATTAAAATTCAATATACATATACATGCAAATTTCATATATTTCAAAAATTGATTTTTATCATTCAAATTGTTCAGTGTAAATGTTTTGTATATAAAGCACCTTGATTACGAATAGAAGATAGAACAGAACCTATGAAATTTTTAATGCATTAAAAATATGAGAAAGTAGCAGGCCCGATAGTTTTACCATAATTATACTCATTTTTTCGCGTTATAAATTCGATTACATTGTTTGTCTTCACCTAAATATACGAGGGTATATCCAATAATACGAAGTAATCTTCTCTCGAAATAATAATGATTATTTTGCCACGACAAACGAATCCTATGTATTCGTGGTAAAAATCCAATTGACTCAACCAAATTATTAATTCTATAATCTGGCATTAGCCAAGCTGTTTTATTTTCTTTTATATCACATCATAATGTGCGGCAGTGTCTCATTCCCCTGCATCAACAAAACAACTTCACTTGGACTTGTCTATTAAATTCAGTACTAGCAAACTGCGAGCGTTATTGAAAATTCAGCCAGCATTCGAGACAAAATCCCATTGAAAATCCTCGAGAAGCGAAGAGAGAATTCATAATAACCATATAGACTCTGGTCACTGTTTCCACCAGCCGCAGAAGCACGAGTACCATCGCCTCTCACTGTGAGGCTGAATTATCTGCTATTGTCAGTGCATCGCACGTGTAGTCAAATGAGTTGTTTCCGCTCTTTTTGGAGGTGGAGGTGGTGGTCTTCGTTTACACGCTATGACATTAGCAATATTCATACTGCGATTCTCATCAGTAAATCTGACAGACGACTGTCTCGTTGGACTCGATGCGTATTCAACTGGTGCATTTGGATCATTCATGTAAACATTTTCATACAGATTATCCGCGCCGTAATGTTCCTGCACCCAATTAGATACATTAGTCTCCCTGTAATCAGCAATGGCAGGTGGTGGATCCCTGAATCCGAGAACTTCGTGTGGAGTTGTGGTTGAGTCTAATTTGCACTTTTGGGCCACTTGCCACTTTTTTCTCATAACTCTTTGGAGATCCTTGAGAAAATCGCCAGGTGGTGCTTGATCAGAGGCTGCGAGTTTTTTCGGTGAAGTCAGCCTTGTGCTGTCAGCCCTCGCTGGAGGCATTGGCATCGGTTTTCTCTGAGGAAGTGCTGGACTGCCAGGCTCCTGCTGAGGTGGCAGATTAAACGAGATCTTTTTCCCAGTTCCTGTCTTCGTTTTTGGGGACGTCGGGGGCTCCTGGATTGTTACTCGGCGCTGGGGCTGTGGACTCGATGATGCCTTCAGCTCTGCCAAATAAGGAGGTGATGCATAATGGCTGGAATTCTGCTTCAACGCACTCCTCCTCACTGTATCCATATTAGGATTGGGCCTAATCGTCTGATTTTGACCAGCTGGGTATGTCCCATAATTCGGCTCGTTCTTGGAATTTTGTCTTTGGAGACTATGAGCCTGAGCTCCATAGGCTGGCGGTGGTACGAATGGTGGTGGCGATATAAAGTTTGGTGTGCTTGGTGAAAATGTTGGTGTACTTGCATTAGAACCAGGATAAGAATTGTGAGGTGATGAGTATCCATTATTCACGGAATTACCATTTTGAGTGGTGCATACTAGATTATTACGAGTTGGTGTGTGAGTCGGAGTGCCCTCGGGGGACATTGAACTTGTTGGTGTTGATTGTTTAGGCCTAGCACGTCTTATTGTTCCAGTCTCGCCCACCAGGGGACTTGGGGGAGGAGGCAGTGACACCAGGGAGAGGGATGATCCGGACAATTCGGAATTTTCGCATATTGGAATTTCCCCTGGAGCTGGAGGTGGTGGAAGCGAGTCTAGGGATAAATTCGACCTGAACATCTCAGGAGGTGGAGGAGGAAGAGGTTCATCATCGGACTCTATCTCTTCAACGACTCGTGATGGGGAGAGAGGTGGGGGCAATGAGACAATAGAATCCATCATGCAGGTGGCAATTGGACTGGTGGGTGTTTTTGGATCTGATTCACTCCTGGTGTATCCCATTGGGCTTATTCGCTCTCTCACTGGAGTTCCTGGTGGTACTGGACTCACTGGAGTCCCATTACCAGACCTGTGATGTCTTTTGAGAGTTCCTGAGCCATCGGAGTCAGTTCCACTTCTTCTTCGACTGTGTCTTCTCGTCAGAGTACCGGATCCTGAAGATGTGGGACTGGGACAGCTATCAGGTTCATCGCGAACTGTCTCCCCGACCTCTTTTAATTGTCTTGTGATGGATGTCAGGGGTAATTTGGGATTCATCGAGGGTTTTCGCTTGATTGTGCCCGTGGGAAATTCCCCGCACTCAAAAGCCACTTCACAACTGCTTGGTGCACCGTCTGATAGACAACCACTGGAGCTCGAAGAACTTGCTCGACTCAATCTTCCATCGTTGGTGTAACTCTGGCGTTGTTCCGGATTATAGCTCTGCCTCTGATTGTCATACTGTCTTCCATTTTCAGTTCCATTATGTCGCATTTCCGTAAATTGTCTGGCATTTTCTGTGGTTGTGTTGTACTGGGTCTGACTCGGGGGAACAGCGATAGAACTTACGGAGCATGATCTTGCGTGAGCTAGGAGATCCAAATCTTCTTGTGCTAATTCATCCACGAGGGTTCGGTAATTTTCCATTATCTGTCTACCATATTTAGCTACACGAATGCCCACCATCCATCGGTCCAGGGAAGCAGAGTCTTCCGCGCAGAGAAATTTAATGTATTTTGTGGATTTGGGCTGTTGGAGGCGCGGGTGTTTCACAGCGAAACAAAAGTCTGAGGGGGCTTTGTATTTTTTCTTCCAACCTACACCGTAGTACACCTGGTTGACGTCAAAGGTGGCGAGGCAAACGAGGTCGCGAGCTGTTTTTGCTTTCTCCTTTGGCCAGTAGTACAGACCGGATGCACGTAGGATGAAGTGATACTTCTTCCAGCCCTTTTTCCCGTCTGATTTTAGGTACAGTGGGCCTTCAACCTGCAATTAAATAAAAACCATACTATTTAGCTCTTTTTTGCTTCCGAATGGAAGCATTGCAATCGTCCGATCCCGACCGGAAAAAAAAAATTCTAATTTTTTTATTTCTTTCCACTTGATTAACTATTTTACCGCATCCCTACTGAAATACAAAATGTAATATTCCCAGAGGCAGTGAATTAACCGTCACTTCTGATTAAGGTGCACGTCAGAAATTTCAACCGTGAACTTTTGATATGCTCCCCCAGTTTCCAACTCGTTGGTTAAAATCCTTTTTGGCAGATGGCCCAAATAATTTTCATATAAGGCTTGCGTTTTTACAGTAATTACCTCGGGTACTCCAACATTACTGCTGGAAAAAAATTCCTCGAGTAATATGTTCCTAGAGTGATCGTCGTACTCCCCTGTGTTTCTATCAGATTGACCAAGAAGATATTTTTCCGGGGAGAGGAAAAGTTGAGTTCTGTCTGGACGCTCGACAAATAGAAGTTTATTCTTTGAGTCTCTGGTCCACAACAGCAGGTTTTCTACTAAAAGCTCGTGGTCCTCGTACACTCTCTCTAATGAACAGAAATAACAATAGAAGGATCAGAAAAGTGTCAGGTAGATAAAACTTATTTGTTGTGGAAATTGCGGATACTTGGACGAAATATCTTACATAGACATATAATTCGAAAGGAAAAATTATGTCATACCCATGAAAAGCTCTGGTAAGTTTTCAACAACAGCCCACTTTGGATCCATAGCAACATGATTTTTGTCGGCCAACAATCGGCAGACGTGTGCAACACTCATGCCCTCGTCAACCAACAAACTCTTGCCACTTCCATCCAACGTGAATGCCTTAATGAAGAGCTTTTGAACGCTTGCCTCCCGCATCTTCTCCAAAGCAAGACGAATTTTCTCAGCCTTAGCTCTACCTGCAGCATCTGTGAATTCCAAGGGTTGCGGATTAGGGCGTAAGTCGTTAACGTCATAATGGATGTGATTATGACGGATTTAAATGCAAATTTACCCATGAGTTGATGTGTCTGCTGCTGAGGGGCCGTGTGCATGGCGGCCTGAGGTGGCTTGTGTCCTGATCCACTGCTACTTGCAGAACTCTCACTTGATAGCATCGAGACAGTGTCAGAAAAGGCGCTGTCATTGTCAGGACTGTCGGTTCGCATTCCTGAATTCAGAGGAAATCAAATTGACTCGTTAATTTGACGCATGTGGAGAAAGACTGATTTTATCAATTGATGAGATCTTTTTTTGGGTGATAGATATTTGGGAGAAAGTGTAGAACTCACCACCATCATTTTTCCCAATGTCTGTATTGTCCCCTGCGTTGATTCTTCCACTGTTGGGTCTTCCAGGTCGCTGAACGTCTGGCGCCGGTGTTGAGGCAATGTCTCCGTCGCAACGCCTCTCAAGTGCGCACAATTCCCCAAGAATTGCATCCAGATCGACATCCTGCGAATCTGCAATCATAAAAAAAAATGAAAATTTTATTATTTGTACTAATCGCTCAGGCACACACGCGAGAGCAAATTCAAACGACTGATTAATCGCTAATCGATGAAACTCATGCGATTTTACGCAAAGCAATGGCAACCAGTTCTGCACTAATTGCCTGAACATTTCTCTGGTGTTTGCAGTCGAGAGTATGCGTCCAGGATCGTTATCCACCGAAAGCCACACCAGAGTCACCGTATAACCGACCTCAGACAAAACTTTCGCTCTCGTTTGTGTTTAATGATTGCTGAAATGAAATCATTTGGGAGATGCGAAAAGTCAATGTTTGAGGAAAGATTTGGATCGAGGGGAGATTGTGTGCAGAAAGGATTAATCTGATTGATAGCAAAAGCTTCTCTTCAATTCAGTACGGTGAATAATCTAATGCAGATAATTCCACGTATGTATCTGCGACCAGTTAGTTTGGGGGGAAAAAAAGTCAAACCGATTCAACGGTTCATTTTATTTTTTCTTCAAACCACTTTTAATGTACTCCATTCATTGGACAGTAATCAAAATCAAATTTAATATTAAGATTTTAAAAAATAGTGGACACTGTCTAGCAATCAACCTAATAGCGCCTTTGCCAACATTTAACAACAGAATCTTTAACGGGAGTAATAATCATCTTATCAACACTTCACCGAAACGAAAAACCGAAACTATCAATTAACTACAATGGACTGAGTATTTCCGTGATATCTAGTAGAACATATATAGAAAATTAATTTCCGGCACGCCATGACATGGCAATAGTGTTACACTTTACGGGATGTTTCTCATACGATCGATAAACGTCTCGGTTTACCCTATCATTTTACCCAGCACCTCGTTAAATCCGACGGATAAACCATGAAATTAATTTTATATTGAATAAATTTTGCGTCCTTCATATATTCATCACGAAACTCGGAATTAAAAGGCGAAGTGATATATCTTCGGACTATACGATGATACACATAACATAATTATTATGTAGCAGATAGGTCTAATGACGTAGGTGTGTATGAGCACCAGTCTCGTGCAACACGCCCCAAGGCTCGTTACGGTAATTAACAAAATTAACTGTACAAACGCGGTTGCTTGGCACCGCTTTGTGTCCAACGCTCATCAATTTTACTTGCTCTCGTGGATATTTTGGTACGCAACCATTGAAAATTGAAATTGATGGCATTCAATTAATGGTATATGTATTTACATTTGAAAATTTGCGTTCTGTCTGATGCTTGAATGAGGGGATGATTTCATTGATGTTTGTGGCTTCGTCAGCGGGAAATGGAAGGAATGGAATATTCAGCTTTTGTACTGGGGCTTTTGATATTTTGGGGTGGAGAAGAAATTGTTTCATCCACCCAAGGATTATTGGTTCAACTCAGCCGGACGCAATCCATAATCCCCCAATTTTTAGACGCAATTTACTGGAATTGATTGCAATTAATATAAATTGCGAGATAGAAATGTAATAATGAACGTTAAATTTTAGGTGTCATGAAGCATCTGTTGCGAAGCATGAAAGATTTCTTGATTTTTTAATTATTTCATGATCACAATGAGAGCAGATGTTATTCTTTCTGTTTTCTGTGTAATTTTATCTCATTAATGGCATTTAATTGGACTGACGATCGTCCAGAGCTCATTTGGAGAATTATGCACTGGACGCAGTTGAGCATTGAAATAAAAAGTCAGCGAAGCTCATCATTATTCCTGGATTATCTCTGGCTTTCTAATCATCTCCATTCATGCATATTATAAATCAAAGAGTTTTCACTTCCGTATAATTATAAATGCGCTTTTTCGTGGTTTAAACTACGAGTTGAGTGAAAATTTTGCATCTGGAGTCGTTGGACAAGTGAAAGCTCACCCATAAAAACAGAAGTTTTAGGATTTATCATTGAACAAGGAATACTGAACTCGAGAGCCTAGTTCGTGACAATGAGTTCGAACGAGGGCGTTAAATTCTATCGAGTTTGCAGACAATTTACACACATCCCCCACTTTTCCCAGTCTTGTCTTATTGGTGAATTGCGTGGGTGAAAAGCCTTTAGCTCTAATGCTTCTTTACCAGTCAATCCTCAATAGCGATAATTTTGTGGTTTATTGCTGTGAGAGTGTTGGCGAGTGAGAAGATTGCGATGTGAATCTGATTCCAATTGTCATCAATCATAATTCAAAATGGTTAAGTAATCACTCACTAACGAATGATGCTGATGAACTCAAGTGATTTGATTGCCAGGACATAAAAATCCGGGAAAATAAAGGGAGATGTCCTGCCCAACTGTCGGAGTAATTGTCCAAGTAATTGACCATTCAAGTAGTTGAATGGCAACTTTCGCTGATGATTAGTCATTTTTTCATAGTTTTAGGATTTCCTGAGTATTTTATATTATGAAAAAAGTACTTCTTGTCCAATAAAATTTACGTAATTCAGTCATTTATTCAGGGAAAGTATCATTACAATTTCACTATAAATGTTTGTCAGTCATCATCAGCTCTATATATTTTCATATATTTTCATGGAATTCCCTGACTCATTCAACAGAAATTCAGAGGTTTTTCCAATTCGTAGTTTTCATGAGCAAGGCACGCAATCGTTTCACGACTGGTGATCAACATTTCCCTTTCAGAGTTGAAAACGAATTTCCATTGCTCTTTGAGCAATAAAATTCACAATTTCGATATTGTGATGAACAAATGACCACAGAAGACAGAGTGTTGATGATGATTCGCGGTTGGAACGCGAGATAACTCGAGGGAATGGTCAATGGTGACGTGATCGTCATCAAGAGCGAGGGGATGAGTTTGACATATCGAAATTACACCACGAGAGCGAATAACACTTTTTTTAATCGCAAATTGAATCGACATGGCCGAAATAAAACACGAAAATGAACTTTGTCACCACTTGTTTCCTGTACGTCGAACTCGATGATCGAGCGCCTCAGGTATTCGAGAATTTACAATCGTGAGGATGAAGGTTTGTGTCACGTACAGGTGTGTTACCGTTACAAGGCGTATTTTCAGTGAAAAATTCGAGACAAAGAGAGGTGGAAAGAAAAAGAAACGTGAGTGTGTGTGATGAAGGGAGTGACTGTGGACGAATGTGAGTCATTCCACGGGGCATTATGCGGTCTATTCTCAAGTCACATGTCGACGTCTTTTGGTGACACGAGGGTCTGGAATAGGAGATTAAACCTGAATGGGAAGAAGTGAAATGTGTGGCTGGGTCATCGACTCTTCAGCTTTAACCTTTTTTCAATTCCCAATCGCACAATCAATCCGAGATTCATATGAATTAATATCGTAAATCTTTGTAAATCTTCAAAATCATTGAATGTCCACCAGAAATTTTTAGTTTGGGTCTCAAAAAAATATTTGAATTTTAACAGGAATTTTGTTACGATCTCACACACCGTAACTTGAGTTCACCCCAGAATTATGGAACGATCACGTAATTTTTGGCGAATTATTCTTTCAGTTCAGTGTAATCCCGAAAACAATGATAATGATATAGTGGCAGCAGTCATTGACCAATCTCCGGAGTAATTTATACCTTTGGGGCCGTAATATCCGAGTATACTCTCGTTACTCCCAAAGCCCGGCATTTTCAAGCGGTTGATCCGCATCGAGTCCCGGCTATTCCACTCGAATAGCGAGCTTGTCGATCACCAGCTACATAAAACGATAGACAACTTTGTTATAATCACTCCATTGCACTCTCGCTGCATCCCATACACCACACAATATTCATCTCACTGAATCGCCAAGCCATTGCACTTTTCAGGGGTCATTATCATTTTAACGGCTGAAATATTCGACTCAAATTGAATTGGAAAATTTTTTAAATTCACGCGAGGCATTTAAAATACATTTTCAGGGTCGATGTGATTTCAGGATAATGCAATAATTGTTTCCAGATGAATGAAGAGATTAATGAGCGAGAGTAAAAGGCATACGGTGGTGGTTGCGCGTGTGACGGGACTCGACTAAAACGCCTCTAAGGTAACAGTTGGCTTCTCGCTTTTTCCATACATCTCCTCTCGTTATTCTCCCCTCTCCCTTCTTACACTCCATGAAAACCCACACACTTGCATTGTATGCAACTATCGCTGAATTTTTATTTTACTTCGAGCTATTTTACGTCATGGAAAGATTGTTCTAGTTGAAATTGATGTAATCGGGATGATGGAACAGAATGGAAATTCTGGATGGCATGCCGAAATGGAGCTGAATGATATATAGGAGAGACCGGGGCAAAATAAAAAACTGAAAAATCGTTTTTTCGTTTTTTTCTTTCATTTTTATTTTACTCCAAAAACTGAGGGTATTTTAGGCTGTATTTTTTTTCTAAAAATTTTATTAGGTTTTTCGCTCATTTTTCTTTTAGACTGAGTAACAATGATAACCATTCTTTTGATATTGAATATGATCTATTCATGATTTTTTACATGAAAGATCTTGCGTGATTTGCGAATTAATGAAAGGATGTATATAAAAAAGCTTAACGGGGACGTGAGTGGAATATTCAATTATTTCATTTTGCCCCGGTCTCTCCTATTATAATTCACAGTTCAAGTGGAAAAAGGTAAACCTTACCGGATAATCGAGAAACTGATTGTCGTTCCTTCATTACAACTTTGTACAAATAAATTAATGCCTTTCCTACTAATTGCTTCTTCTGCAGCCATTTATTTATCAAAATTCGACGACATAAATCGAATAGTGTTTCACGCTCGAGTGTTAAGTCGAGTTATCTTTCTTGCTGTTTTTAGTTGGCAGAAATACGTCGATTCAGCGCCTCTTTAAAATTATTATTATTCTTGTTCATGTGGATATAGCTCGTTTGAAATTACAATTGCAACTTAACCTACTCTATTTCATTACAAAAAAGTAATTAAATACATTTTGAGGTTTGAACCCTTTCTGGGAGGTGCGATATACCCTCAATAGTCTGTCACTCGATTTCAGT